CTCATGAAAAGTGCTGCGTGCAGCTATGCACACGACTTCATTTCTCGTGGGTGATACCAAGGAGTGGACAGCCAGCACAGAGGGAATGTGTCTAATTTTGTAAGTAACCACCAGATGGCTGTCCCTAACACACCCCTCTTCCCTGCATGCAAAAGACTTTGTTCAGGAAGTGTTTCCTGGAAACTGAGTTGTCAGGCAATGCCAGGTGGGCAGGAGGCCTGGCCCCAAGTGTCCAGCACCCACCTGACCACCTTGTCTGCAGATAAGATGCTCAGGAGCAGGGCTTAAATGATGCCCATAGACCCAGAACCAGGCCGGGCAAAGCTGGTTGAAAGCCAGAATTCCTGTCTGTCTTGGACTTCAGTGATTGTCAGACTGATACCATGAAGAGCCTTTGTGGCCTGAGGTGGCCCACAGAGCGGTTGTGATAAGTAAGTTTGCGAATACCACGAGCACTTCCTTCTGGACTCTGCAGTACACGTAGCAAGTGGGAGTGCTGCCACTCCTGTTACGGTGTTTTTTGTGCTATCTCCATCCTTGTTTCTCTCCTTATTCACTTAGACTCACATTTGACCCATGCACCCGGACCTATGTGATGAGGAGAGACTGTGATCTAAATTGGGGCCCTGGTTCTCACACATAGTTATCCTAGGGGGCCACCACCATCAAGCCCCATGAGGACCTGGAGGTACAGAGATGGGGACTTCTTCGCATTAGGGCCCTCAGCAGGTATCCTCCCAGGGCTTCAGTGCTCCCACACACCATGGGGCTGGAAACGTCCCTATGGGCCCCACATGACCGTTCATACCCTGGGAGGGATGGCCAGGGTCCGAGTCCACGCTCTGACCAAGGTTAGAGTGGGCTGTGGGCAGTCCCTCAACTTTCAGCTTCATTTGCCTCCGTGGGGACAAGTTGGCTCTTCCCACATCTTAGAGTAGTGAGGAGTGCTGTTCTGCTTAGGCTCAGGCTGTTCTGCTCTCATGACGTTTGGAACATGTAGCCCATCGCGTTCCCATAACTCCCCTGCCTCCCAGAGCCCTGGCATGCACAGTGTCCTCTGGGGACATAAGGGACATTTCTCCAGGTAATTTAGTCTAGTGAGGAAGTACGTATGTGCCCTAGTGCTGGTCTGGGCACCAAGGTTCAATTCGCTGATTGAAATGATGGTTCCATCCCCTTGCAAGGCTCCCATTCTTGCAATGCGTTGGCATTACTACCACTCCCAACCCCAATCCAGAAGGAAGTGCAGAATGTTTTCTTTTTTCTTTTTATTTATTTTTGAAGAAATATCTGTGCCTTTATTGGCCCAGCAGGCTACTTAGGCAGGGGGGAGTGAAACTGGAGGAGTAAGTGACCCTGATCCTGGGCTGAACAGACTTGACAGGAGTGTAGATGACAAACAACTCACCCAGATGGTGACTGATGCTCTCAGGCTTGATTTCAGATGCCCACCATGCCACCCACCACCTGAGGCAGGTGATGTTGACCCACGGGTATGTCTTTACCACCTTGGGCTTCTCCGTGGTAGCACCTGCTTCTCAGCAGCAAGCACTGCTTTTGCTGCAGGCCCCAGGTCACCACCACTGCCAGTGACATCAGCTGCTCACAGGACCCACAGCTCAGTGAGTGACCCTGTGAGAGGGCTGCTTTTTCTATTGCTCCACGTGCCCATCTCTTTGGTTCTTCAGATTGTTTTCTGCAGTGTCTTTTAGGAACATTGCAGGGATCTTGCTGACTTTCCTACCATGTAACTTGGACTTATCCTTGTGTTGAAGAAGCCTCGAGAAGGGAGGACATGGGTCAGGAGCCAGGGGTGAAGGTTCATGTCCAGAATGGTCCAGAGAATTTCAAATCAATTAAAAAGCAGGCAGAGCACTTGAAGAGCACTTCAGGGAGTGGAAGTACAAATGGCCACAGATCATTGGAAAGGGCCTCAACCTCATGACTACTGGGAAACATTCTCAGCTGATCCCCTAATTTGGCAAAAATCCTAACAGACCAACAATGCCAGGAGTCGGTGAAGACACAAGGCAGCCCTAGGGACACAGCATGTAGCTGTGTTAGAAAGCAGTTTGGGGTATGTGCTGAGGTTGAAGGTGGATGCTGTGTGACTCTTTAGCTGTGCATGTGGGACAGCCCCCTCATACCAGCCTAAACGTCATCAGCAGTAGAAGCGACAACTTGTAAGAATCATTGTGGGCAAAGCAAGTGACAGGGGAAAGTGAGCTGCGTTTCTAGGGACACTTTGTTAGATGTAGATTGAACATCGCGAGCTGACAGCGTGGTTACCTGGCGTGTGCAGCTCAGCTGCCCCCACATCATCTTCACAGACTCTGCCCATTCCTGGTAACGTTGCCGAACCCAGAACACCTTTGCTGTTTGGGAGAACATTTTGCTAGAGGAGCCAGTGCCTTTTCTGGCTGGCTGGGCTCCCTTGGGAACATGTGGGCACTGCCTTCATGTCCCTGCATCAGCTTCTCAGGATGTGAAGAAACCAGACTGGTCAAGCAGGGTGCAGACTGGGTGGGCCTGTGGGTATCATAGCGGCACGAGATTAAAGGAACCCAAAAGGAGAGTGCCGAGCACCTGCCAGTGTTGCTTCCTGGCTCTGCCCACACTAACTGAGTCACGGGGGCAGTCAGTCCCAGTCAGCCCTCACCTGTGCATGCGATAACCTAGAACCTTCTTTCTGGGGAGGAGACAAGGCTGTGGAATGCACTTGGCACAGGTGTGACTGGTTGTCAGTGCCAGTGATGCAGCTGTTGCTGCTTCTGAGTTAACAGGAGCATCTCTGTGGGTCTTTAAAAGCACTGTGTGTGGACAGTGGGTCGCCTCTTTGGAACCCTGGAAACTGGCAGGTGGGAATTCGAAAGGGACAATCTAGCTCCCGGCCAGGGAGACTAGGAGTTAGCGCATGGGACTGATGATGGTTAAGCTCTGGGAGGAAGCCCCCGACCTAATGAAAAATTCTATAATTCCTGTGTTTGCCAGTTGTGAGGTGGGTAGAGAACCATCCCAGAACATATAGTCTTGTTTTGTTAGTCTCTACTTCATACACAGAGATAACCCTTGATAGAAAGTTTAAAAAAAACAAGTGAAGATTCTCTACATTGGAATGACCTTACGTTAAGCTGCATAGCAAGTGAAATTTAGTCCTGGCCTTACTTACCAAAGCACAGGTGGCATCATGGAAAAGGTCAAAAAGCAGGCACTCAACCAATCTCATTACACACATGCTCAAGAAAACAGGACAAATTCATACAAATTCCTTGACCTGCATGTGTTTTATTAATAGAAAATGGGCATGTTCCGATTATTTCATGCCTATTTTTAGCCATTTCTCCATTTATTGAACACTTACTGTGTGCAAAATGATATTAACAATTTGGTGAGACGGGCCCCTTTTGCAAGAGGTGAGGGGGCAGACAAATGGCTCCCACATTTGCTGGAAGCCAGAGTAGAGATGCTGGAGCAATCAGGATACTTGATGGAAGACCTGGGGTGTGGTCAGTAATTTTTTAATGACATCTGCTGAGTTGTGAGGCCTGTTCTCTTGCTTACCTCTGTGGTGAACTTAGGGAAGCATCCAAGTTCACTATTTAGGAACTGCTGGTTCGTCTGGCACCAACGCAGAACCACATGCGTGGAACTGCTTGTTACTCATGGTAACTAGTTAGTAGTGAACTATAGCTAGTAAAGGGGAGTTCTAAGAATGCTGAGATTTGTGTTACGTGGGGAAATGCCAAAGTGATGGTGCTTTCTGTGCTGTTTTCTGATATACGTCACACATCTCTGGGGATACACATTTTAAGAATCAGAAATTGGGCCTCCCTGGTGGCACAGGGGGTTGAGCGCAGCACTGTGAGGCTGTCCGCGGCCTTTGCAGCATGAGTTCGATCCCCAGCCAGCTGGGGAGCAGCCCACATGGCGCGGCAGACCTCTCCTGTCTCTCCTGCTGCTCCCCTCAGCATTGTATTTCAGTACATCTGCCTGTTCTGCTCCCCGCTCTCTCTGATGAATCTTCTCCCCCGCCCCGATTCTAGCCTGTACCCCACTTATTAGGAAAAAAATCAGAAATTGTATAGCAAGTGTCAAATAACATAATAGTCTTCAAATGTGTGGGTTTTTCCTTCAACAGTTTCTTCTTTCTTGTCTTTATAGGCAAACAGGTGCAGCCATTGGGGTGGATTTTACAAATTGGAACTGAGAAAGTCCCCAAATTTCCCAGTTTTAAATTCAAGAACATGACTTGTAAATTTAACTGATTCCTGGTTTATCCTTTGCTAAGCGCTTTTCTGAGTGAATGAATGTTGGTTGATTTCTTGATCTATCTGCCATACTTAGCAATAAATCTGGTTTCTTATAATAAACTTTATAAATACTTCCTGAAGTAAACCCAAAAGTAAACTAAAAATAATGAAGCACGCCAAGGTAGGTGAGTTTTTCTGGACTCACAAAAATATGATCATTTTTAAATTGTAATTGTCAAGAAGTTTTGATAGCAAAGTGATTGACTTTGAAACATAAATTTTGAAAAACTTGAATACTGGTAGCTTGGAAATTCATCCTGAAGAGTTATCATAGGACTGAGTTCACTGTCTCCCTTGACTTTTTCCAAGTAGTTCATTCTCTGAGTAGCTCAAAATTCTTTCCGTTTTTTGGCAGTGTGGTGGTAGTATTAGGACTCAAACATACTGGAGAATTCAGATATGCAAGTTACACCGGATTTAGCAAAGATGAATTTAGCACAAGCATGAGCAAATGTGGGATGGAAAGTAGGATCTGTTGTTGGTGGTGAAAGTGGGTGGGGGTGCGTGCAGTGTAGCAGTGGGGAGGGTCAGTTAGAGGAAAGGGTCTGACTCAGAGACAGGCCTGTGCTGGACTTGTGTTCCACCGAGGAGCACCGCCTGTGCCAGCAGTGTCCTGGGACCGGCCCTCCCCTGCAGACTGGGGGTGGGGGTGGGGGTCAGGATGGGGACGGACTGAGAAATGCATGGCTGCCCTGCTGTGACCCTGCCAGGAACTAGCCAATTTGCAACCAAAGCTACTGAGAAATCGAAAAGAAAACAAAAGTGATTTTAGGCCACCCCCTCTGTTTAGGGAAGGCCAGCTCTGGTGCGGGCCTGCCTCTCAGAGCCGTGCTTTCAGGATTAACCCCTTTCCCAGGATTCTTAGTCCTCCAGTGAAAAGTATAAGCAAGGAAACGGTCTTTTGTTCTAAACAAGAACACCAACACGCAAACCAGCCTCTCACCTGCATCCCGTTTCCCCTGACTGTGGCCCTGACTTCCTGATCCAGAGCCTGCAGGCTGCCTGGTGGACCTTGGCTTGACCTTGGCCCCTGGGCTTGCTAGATAGAAAAGAACTACAGACTGTTAACACAGCTGCCAACACCAGGGTGTCCAAAGGAAGTCAGGGACACAGCGCCCTGGCACAGCCTGGTGTGAGAGAGGGTCAAGCTGAGACTCTGAGGTTTGAAGAGACCAGAGTGGCAGAAGAGTTGCTGTGCCTTTAAGTAGAAATAGCACATTCACCAAAGGAAGCTGCCTGGAAACCTTTCTAGATCAGTCTGGTTTTCTGGCAAGGAAGCAGAGGCTCCACAGAACCTATTCAGGGTTTTGCAGCTGACAGGGTGGGTGGGTTCAGAGCCTCAGTGGCCAGCATATCTGCCTGGGCTGGCTCCGTCTTCTCCACTGGAGGGGACATGCATGTAGCAGGATAATGGCTAACTTTCCCAAGGGGCTGGGGTCAAACAGTGATTTCCCCATGTAGACTGCCCAAATTGGGCCCCACATACTTGTATGTTACAGAATGCCAGTAGGCTGCTGTAGCATCCAGAATCACATGCATCTTTCTTCAGAAAATCACCCTAGAGCACTTCAGGTCAGGGTTGGCTGCCAAATGAATTTGCTGCAAACTTGAAAAGACTTCCAGGGGTCTGTGGCCTGTAAGGTAATCATAAAAGATGTGGGGGGTATGTGGGGACGGTAAGGGGTGTCTGCTAGTTCCACTTTCATAAGTAAGCGTTTATAGAATGGGGCGGGGGCTGAAGGAGGGGCCCTCTGTGCTGGGCAGATGCCTGGTGGAAGGAAGGACTCCACACCCACCATGTTCCTCCGACAGCCAACATCCATGTGCAGCTACTTCTAATTAAGTCAGCCAGTCGGTTACCATGCAACACCAGCTAATGGGGACCTGAAGATCCTGTGGCCCATCCCTATGGCCGCTCCTCCTTGGGCGGTCTGTCAGCTTTGTTAGGTTAGGAGGACTAACAGCATTTTTTCTAATTCAGTTTATTTATATTCTTTAGTTCTGCACACACTTTGGGGGTTGATGTGTAAGGACAGATCTGTACTGAGACAATCAGCTGATGTGTGTGAGCACAGGAAGGAGAGACCTGGTGCTGCTGGACTGTTCCTGTACACCAGCTGCACCTCCCACCCCATCCTCCCTCTGAGGGTTTTAATAACACCCCCATGTGACACCCGCCTTCAGCTCGACGCCAAATGTGACTCTTCAGCCACAGAGTCCATCCACGCACCCTGATGTGTGTTCTTTGTATTGTTTCCTTCATTTTAATACTTTGTGATTTTTCTATCAAATACCTCTTTATAAACAAAAGGGGGAAAATCAAGTATTTTAACATTACAAAGTATAAATACTGGCTTTAGATTTCCATCACTTCATTTAGAGCGTTTATGTCGAGGAGGCTGCAGGTAATGGTTGTCAGGGGCTTGGACTGAGGGTGAGTCTGAAGAAGCAAAGGTCAGCATGGCCGACCTTCAACCAGGCACCTGGTGCTTCAGACAACACACCCGGGGCCTCAAATATCCCTTTTTTTAAAAAACCCAGGAAGCACTGAGAACACGCCTCATGTCACTCCAGCCTTGCTCGGCACATCTTGACATGTGGCAGAGCATGCAGGTGACAAAGTACTTGTACTCAGTTGAACTGTCGGCCACCTCGCCTTGGTCAGGACGTGAGACCCAGAAGGAGGGACGGACAGGCTCAGCATGGTCACTGCAGACTGCACCTAAGTCAGCTGCACAACTGACCTCCCCTCCCCTGTAGTAGGGAGACCTGCGCTTAGCACTGGTGTGGGCTGGCTGTTCATGCCATCACCTGCTGCACCCCTGCTTGGTCCTGGGGGCAGTGCCGGTGCCCACAGTGCATCTTCTTTATTAGCCGCCGGAGCTTGCTGGGGAAGTTCCTGTTGATGTAGCGGTAGAGGAGGGGTGTCACAGAACTACTGGAGAAGGCCAGGAACTTGGACAGATCCTTAGTGAAGAGCAATATCCCCAGGTAGTGCCCATCCACAGGCTTCCCCCGTGATGCAAGCAGTGTATGCCCCAGGAGGCTCAGGTAGTGGGGTGTCCAGAGCCCAAAATGAGTGCACACGGTGGCCACCAGAAGCCTGTGCACTGAGGGGTCCAGCCGCCCTGAGTCCCGGTCGAGAGGCGTGTCCTCCTTCTGCAGTCTTGAGATGAGCACCAGTGCATAGAGCACGGCCAGGGCGGGCACCAGGTACCCAATGAACACCAGGATGGCGTCAGCGGCCTCTGTGTCCTGCATCTTGGTGCACTCAACCATCCTTGCTGCCACGTGGCTGCAGATGTAGAACAGCAGGGAGGAGAAGCTGGTCAGCAGGGCCCCTCCCCAGACAAAGCCACACACGTGCCTGGTGTTGTAGACACTGGACATGTAGGTACGTGGCAGAGCCCGCTCGATGTAGTAATCCAGGCTGAGCAGGGCCGTGGAGTACATGGTCACCAGCGAGGAGACGTTGAACAGCACCAGCAGCGTCACGTGTGCCTCGCTGCTGAGGCCCCACAGGGCCCACCTAGAGGCGGTGGGGCCCAACAGATACACGGGGGCCAGGGCACTAAGGACCAGACCTGCCACGGCCATGTTCACAAAGTAGACATCAGGCATGGTCATGCTGCCCTTGTCACACAGGTTGACCAGGACCAGCAGGGCATTGTAGCTCAGGCCAACCGGAAAGCCAACCACCAGGTAGAGCAGGGAGAGAATGGACAGGACCAGGTGGAAGTGCTGACAGACGAGCGGGTCCTCGCCCCTGCCAGTGCCATTGAGCGGGCCACAGCTCCACATGGCGGGGCGGGCAGGCTGCGCCGGGCTCAGCAGGCTGTGGGGAAGAGCAACGAAAAGTCAGTTCCCTAGAACCCAAGTTGGCCTGTGAATTGCTGAGAAATGTACAGGTTGGTGCGGGAAGAGTGCCCAGCTCCTGGCACTGCACAGGAATAGCCAGAACTATCAACCTTTTAATAAAAGACCTTGTCCTGCATGTGTGCTTTCTGAAGATGAAGTTGTCATTTCAGGATGATGTCCTTAAGCTATGAGCATTGTACCCGGAGGCCTGTGGTGCTACAGTGATCTTCGAGGCAGGGATGGCAGCCACAACCCTCCCTGCACACACTGCTGATTTTCTGCACCTGTCTGGCCCCTTCCTGGCATTCACGGGCATCATACTACCCTTTGCCCTGCCCTTCATACCTGTGTCTGGTGGCCAGAAACTCAACCCTATCTCATGCTGCCTGGGTGACCCCAGAACGCTGCAGCCACCAGCCCTGTGAGCACAGCCCCAAAAACACATGCGCGTGTGCACGGATGTGTGCACACATGGGGGAGTAGAAGGTGTAAAGCCAGGGTGGCTGAGTACCTATTTCTGAAGAAGAGCCACACTGCTTTGGCAAGTCAGGTGACACTTGGGATTGGAGGCCAGAGGCAGGGCCCAGAAGTGTGTGTGAGGCTGTCATGGCACCTCACTTTGCATGGGCTCTCACAGGGCCCAAGTGATGTTAGGTAAAAGAGGGCTTTCAGGCCCTGGGGGCAGATGCTAGTGATGGGCACTGACCCTGCAGACATGGAGAGACCAGGGTACTGAGGCAGGAGTAGGCAGAGAGCCCTGGCCTGTCCCCTCCCCCTTATGGGGGACAGGGACAAAGTGGCCTGTTTGTTCTAGTGCAGGACACCAGGTATCTGGCTAGTCATTAAGCAGCAGAATGGCAACTGGCAGGTGGAGTGTGATATAAAGGACATTCTTCAGAAATGTCAAAATTCTTCAGAGCAAAGCCTACATTCAGAATGTAGTTTGGCCCAGCCAAACCTGCTCTCAGAATAAGAAGTCTTCTCAGGCAAACACAAAACACATGCTTCCCTGACTTAGGGACACAGCAGTGAGCCAGCCCCACTGATGTTGGTGAAGAAGAGGCTACAGTGAGCCTGGCGCAGAGAGGAAACTTGATGTGGAGAGAGGGGTCTCTGTCTTGTATCATCTCTTCAGTCATTTCCCACATTCCAGAACATTTATTGTCTACCCTGTCCTGCCCCTGAGCCAGTTGCTAGGATCATAGCATGAGCAAGAGGGGGCTCTTTGCACAAGGGGCATGCCCTAACATGGGGATTGATGAACAAGGGGAGGAGCCAGGAGCTCAGACACTCCCTCACAATAGGAGTGTCTCCATGTCTGCCCTCAGCATCAGACCACGATGGATGGGGTGATGCCCAAACACCTGTTCAGGTACACACAGGTGGACACTGAGTCTGTGGGAATGATGTGCAATCCTAAGGAAGCCACCCAGCAGGCTTGATGACAAATGTCATGTGGTAGCAAGGGTGACTGGAGTTAGGTGGCACTGGGCGGAGGTACTGGCCACCTCTGCCACCCACATGTCCTAGTTATGTCACTTTCAGAAGTGTTTGCTCTCCTTCACAGCATGACGAGTCCATGATGCTACACTGCTGCCCCTCAACCTCTGACCCTGGGCCCTGAGGGTCCACGGGGAGTGCCAGGCAGGGCACACAGCTCTCTGGGGACCAGATTCTGCCACAGAGATGTGAGCACTGGGCAGGCCCCACTTGATCCTGAGGCAGCCATGGGTCCTTCCCTAGCACCAGCTCCCGCAGGAAGCTGCTGGTTTCCCTGAGCTAAGAGGATTCCCTTTCATGTCACTTTCCAGCTGATTAGACAGCAGTTCCCTTCTGTCTCCTTCCATCCCCACTGGCCTCAGCCTCCTGAGTGCACGGAGCCGCACACAGTGTTGAGGTGCAGCCACCTCTCTGGTCTGCTCCTCCCTGCTTGAGGTCCGCCCTCCTCCTCAGATGGGACAGAGGTGTGGGTTGCAGCGCTCCTGAAAGAGGGCCCTCTGCCTTCTTTATGGCAAGTGCTGCCTTCTGCGGGGTATTTCCCACAGGCTTCTGCCTGCTGGGCTGTGGCTTTGGTGGTAAAGGGGGGCAGTGAGCCAGAGCCCACCTGGGCACACTCATCTGCCAGGCTTCCTAAAACTGTAAGTCTTGTGGCCTCTGTGGACATTTCTCCCCCAAGAGTGCCCTGTCCTTGCCATGCCCATCCACAGCCAAATCCTCTGCTGCTCTGGGGTCACCCCACTCTCATCATGTCCAGGACCCTAGGGTCTATCCAGGACAGACCCACCTCATCTTATTTCAAGCCCTCCTCCTCAGAAGGGACAGAGGCGAGGATTGCCGCACTCCTGAAAGATGCCCTCTGCCTTCCTTATGGCAGGTGCCGCTGTCTGTGGGGTATTTTCCACAGGAAAGAGTCACGAGCCACCAGAGTCTACCATGGCCCAGGATGACTCGCTCAGTCTGACAGACCCAGCTGAGGACCCGGTTCCTACACTCTGTGGGGCTGGGGCAGGTGGTGTGCCCCGTGGACCAGGGTCCTCTCTGCCAGCCCTCTCCCTATCATCATCTAATCCTTGGTCTGGCTCCAGCACACACTGGCAGCACCAGTCCCCCAGCTCCTTACCTTTACTCCGTGCCCCCATCTCTTTATGCCCTGGACACAACCCCATCTATGTCAGTCAGCGCTGCAGGGCAGGGACCCTGGAGAGGGTCTGTGTGTCTTTCCTGGAGACCCCATCTGCTTATCAGCAGTGGTGTGTGCAGGGCTCAGTGCCCAGCATGGAGAGGCGCACCTCTTGTTTTCCTGTAGTGAATTACTCATAGGACTTCTGCCTCCTTGGCAGGCGCAGTGGCTCCTCCCTATCTCTGTTGACAGCGTTTCAAGAAGTGAGAGGTCATGCCTGGATGGCCACACCATGGAGCAGGCGTGCTCCCGCCTTCTCCGTCTTGGTTTAGGGAAGGCCTCGGGTCCCCTGCTGGGCATGACAGCACTCTCCTCTCCTCCGCCGTTCTACCCCCTCTCCCCAGAGCAGTGGGACAAATCTGGTTAGACTTGTCCAGGGTCCATGTGGCTGCTCCTGGCACTGAGAGCAGAGAGGAGCTATATTTTTCCTGAAGGATCTAAACTGAACAGACAGTTGTCTCAAAAACCAAGGATGAAATAGTTGGCCCTCATGCAGAGTCCCATAGAGAATTCCTAGCGGCTGTCATGTCAGCATGGACGCCGGCAGCCCTGAAAGAGCAGCAGTGGTCAAGGGAGGGCTCAGAAGCGAAACAAGAGCAGGTCTAGGTGCATTAGCAGCAAGTAAAGGAGACACCTGCCTGTGTACCTGTGCCCAGCGGGGCCTGGCTCTGCTCTGAGGCCCCTGCCTTGGGTGATGTGTCCTCGGACTGAGCCCAGGGCAGGGACTGTGGATGCCCTGCCCTGGGGAGCCAGCTGGGCTCAGAATGCCTGGATTCTCGGGAAACTACCATGTGGAACAGTCTGTTTAGAATTTCCCGGCTGCGTTCACGTGCCTGGCTCCTCGTTAGAGGGCAGCTCTGTGTGAATGTGTGGGCTGCCCAGACTTGCAGGAGGGCAGCTGGTAACTGTCAGTGTGGCTTCCAGGTGAAAATACACCAAAGCAACTTGCAAAAAGAATCTACCATATAAACTTAAAATTTTTGCAGTTTTCTTGTCAATTGTAAGGATAATTTTGATTTCAAATGCAGATGATAAGTTAAATGATACTAGTTTTCATTTGCTCTCACTTCATTTTGTTTTCTTGTTCCACATTCTTCCTGGGAGGCACCTGGTGCCACCAAGAATTGCTTAGAGATCTCAGGGAAAATGACCAGTGAGACAAACAGCGTCGTTTCACAAACACAGGTGTCCGGCATTTTCTAAAGTTCCATAAAGTTGAAATCTCTTTTCTTTGTGGAAACGAAGGTGAGCAGTGTGGATGGAAAGAGACACCAGGGGAGGGACAGGGGCCACCTGTCAAAACACCCAGCAAAGGCACATACATCCCGTCCTCTCCAGACATTTACCTGCTTTTCTGTACCTGCTGTGGCCCAGGCCTGACACCCCCAGGTCAGCCCCTAAACCTGTCCTCCTGGCTGAAAGGGGCTCTGGGAGCTTGCTGGCCAAGGCAGAGGGCTGCAGAACCCCCTGCCCTCCTTCAGTCAGCTCCCTGCACCCGCCCCACTTCCCTCTATATACTTCCATTTTTTTTTCAAGTCAAGGAACCGAGACTTCCTGTCTGGCTGTTTGGGGAAGAGGGATGGGCCTGAGAACAATAGTTTGGCTTCTCTCTCCATACAAGCCTCAGGCCTGGCTGGCCCATCTTTCCAGTTAGCGCAGCTAACTGGAAACTTCCTTCATGAGAAAGAGGAACTTGGAACACAGATAGTGAGGCCAACAAGGGTTCTGGGAAGGGCCTCTTCTCTGCCCTTCTGCCCCTCTACAGACAGGAGAGAAGGAGCAAGTAGCCCCTGACCCTTTCTCTTGAGTGTCGATGGGCTGATGATCAAAGCCCACCATGTCCTGCCATTTTCATTTGGAAAGCTGCCACCCTTTCCTCAAAAAGCAGTGTTAATAATCCCACTTCTGGCGGCCCAGTCACTTGCTGCAGTGCCCTCAGTTGAGGGGCTGGGACATTGAGGACCACAGTCGGCCTCTGTGTAGGCTGGCAGTCTGTCACCACATCGTGACCCTAGGACCTTCCAGACTCCTACGCAGAGCCACCCATCCTGCCTTACTATACTGCCTCCCTCTTCCAGCCCAGTGGCAGCCTCCTCACCAGGTCTGCCCTTCCTGCCCCCGACCTGCCTCCAGGCTACTCTCCCTCCCATCACGGCCCAACTGCCGTTCCTGGGCCGGCCTGTGGACATACGCTGACTTGTTTGGCCACCTTCCCAGTCTTATCACTGTCTCTCCTACCCTCCGAAACCCTCCCTCAGGCTTCCTTTGGATTGCCACCCACTGCAGTTTCTGCTCCAGATCCCATGTCTGCCCCCAGTGATGGTGTTTCCACATCCTAGGCTCGCTTGGCCTTAGAAGGCCCCTCATCAGACAAGGTCAAGGACCTGGTCCCCATCTCCTGCTACACCACAGTACTGTACCCCAGACCCCTCCATGTCCTCATGACTCCCACCCCCGCTGCCAGCCCTGTTTCTGCCCATGAATCTCTCTCTCCTGCTGGTCGGGGTTTCTCCCTATTCCCTGGACAGGTTTTCTGAGCTGACACCCCTTCCTGACTTCACTCCAGGGGGACCAAGGAGCACACGAGTGTGTGCTGACTTGGGGTGCATATCTTCCCCGACTTGCTTCCCTCCCTGCCCCTCCAGATTCCTGTAAGGGAGAAACCTACTCACCCTCAGGCTCCTGGCTAAAATGCAGTTCGTGGTTGTCTCTCTTCTACACTGTGCATTCTGGCGAGCCAGGAGCTGCAAATCAGCCTTGGCCCACAGAGCAAAGGCACCTGGGTATGCAGATGCAGTGGCCACCTGCTTTGCAATAAAGGCAGTGGTGGGGCTGCCAAGCCCTGACCATCTACTCAGTTGAGAGCAGGGACAAGCCCCGACTGCTAGCCCAGCCAGGAACAAGCCAAGGGCAGGATGTGGTGACGAAGTGATATTTGCCCCAAGCCGGGTGGGGCTTCAGGGGCACCCCCCACTTAGGCCAGCCTCTTTCTGTCAGGCTCTGGATGTCTCTGTTGGAAAAGGAGAGAAGTAGCTATCCAGGTCAGAGGGCCACACATGTGCCTTGGATTGCCCAAGATGGTTCCAGTTTTCATGTTGTTCCTATGAAAGGATTCATTAATGGTCTAAAAGCTAACTCGCATACCTCTCTTTCCAAGAGTGATTGTTTTCTTACAATACTCATAAAGAAGAGCCCCTCCCCTTCTTGGTCCAGGGGTGGCTGGTGTGGAACCAATCTTGTTAGAATGGAACATCGAGGCCCTTACAGCTTCAGGCAGGTGGTTCCAGGCCTGCGGGGCTTGCAGCAGACAGGGAAGAGGAGAGCAGGTGAGTGGATTCATGTCTTTGGGCATAGAGACAGATCTTAGTATGTGAGCCGGCCCAAGACACCAGGAACTGGTGCGTTGACCCCAGTGAACCCCTCTGCTGCCTTGGAGTGCTGGTTCCCAAACACTAAGCAGTCCCACTTGGGTTTCTCTCTTTCTCCAGGCTTGATTATGTGTGTGCACATCACAGAGAGGACAACTTTTAGAGAGGCCCAGGAAGAAGGGGCTGACATCCTGAGGCACCAGGCTGGCCCCAGCCTTGAGGTTTGGAGGGATGTCTTTGTAAATGTGATGGAAAGTGCACAGACCTTCCTGCCACATACTGCTTCTGGGGCTCCGGCACTGTGGGGAGCCTTTACAGGAATTAGTGCTGTGGTTATTTCCTCTGCAGTGTGGAGGGGTTGCCTCCTGGGCCCCAGTAGTCTGGCCTTTTTTTTTTTTTTTTTTTTTTAAAGATTTATTTATTTATTTACACAAGCACTGGGTACAGTCAGAAGCGCGGGAGGGTGAGAGAATCCACCAGAGCCAGAGCGGGGAGCAGAGCAGGCAGAAGGACCGAAGCACACTGCTGAGGGGAGCAGTGGGCGGCAGGAGAGGTCTGCGCGCCATGTGGGACCCTCCTCCGGTGGCCGGGGAGCAGCCGGGGATCGAACCGGCGCTGCAGAGGCTGCGGGCAGCTTCGCAACCCAGCGCTCAACCGCTGCGCCACCGGGGAGGCCCTAGTCTGGCCTTTTAAAAGAAAGCTTGGCTGAAGTTCTTGAGGCCAGACTCCATGCTCAGAAAGCTGGCTCCCACGTGCAGCACTTGGTGCTATGGCATTGCTTGCCATCCAGGGGCAACCTCAATCCACCGCATCAGAGAATACGAAGATGTAGCAGCCACTGCCCAGAGGGCTGGCTGATGCTGAATGAATGCTGTTCAGGCTCGGGAGAGGCCTTAGGCTGCAGGTGGTGGTTTGTTTCTCTGCACCTCCTCTGGGAGGTCCTCAGAAATGGAACCCTTTGGGGATTTCCTGTCTCAGCCCAGTTTCAAAAGACTTAGTTCTTTCCAGGACCCTCTCTTTTCTTGGATCTTCAACTGGATGACAGTCATGCATCCTACATGTTCTTGTGCATAAAAGCATGTTTTCTTTTTCTTTGTTTCCTTCAGAGACCCTCTCTGAACTCCAAATAATTTCTCAAGATACTCTTGTATAATTTCCCAGTTACCCACCCTGCCTCCTAGTCAAACAGGTGTGCCTCCCTCTTCTTGGCTCCCTCCATCTGTGCTGGGTCAGGAGGCTCCTTGGCACATGGGTGCTAAAAAGCTATCTGCTCCCAGCTCAGAGTGGAGAAGGCAGAGAAGCCCAAAGTTGTCTGACTCCCACACGTCTTGGCACTGATTCAGGAGGTTCTTTGGCACATGCCTAGGCACCCTCTGGGCAGCTCTCCCTGCTGCTTGAGAATACCTGGAGGCCCCCTCCCAGGTTGAATGGTCCTTGAGCAAGCGCTGTGGCACTCTCTGGATCTTCTTTATGAATACTGAGCATGCCAGTTCTTAGGACTCACCCTCAGACAGCCAGGAGGCCTTGACCAGCATGCCTAGACCAGGTTTGCCAGCTGAGGAGTCCCTCCCAGGTCCAAGAGCAGGTGCAGGCCTGAGGAAAGCATAAGCTGGATGGGACATGTTTTAATGCAGTGGGCTGCAGAGACTGGGGGTGGCCAGACCACAGGAAAGATGAGCTGACCAGACAGCTGGCAGTACAGATAGGCCATGCCTCTGCTCAGCGGCCTGAGGAGTCCTGAGCAAAGGAGTCTCCTTAATCTTGGGGGAGCAGGGGATGCCTTGGTCAGTAGTTGCCAGGCGCAGGCGATGAGATGTACTAGCCTGGACAGGTGCACAACTGCCATCCTCCCAGCTCCATAGCAGGGACAGGAGAGCCAGGAGTGTGTGTGACATAGGACCCCCTGCAACAGATGACACTAGCCCTTGATAGTTTACTGTGAGAAAATGGTTGATTTTCTCCATGCTGGTCTGGTTCATTCTACCCTACACAAGGGAACCTTAACTCAGGAACTCCCTGACAAATGATGCTGTGGGCGTGAACTCATCTTCTGTAGGTTGCAGAGACAGGGCCGGTAAATGTGTGGGCTGCAGAAGATGCTGGAAGAAGCGCCATGCGGGGCCTCCCCGGTGGCACAGCAGGTTGAGCGCCGCGCTGTGAAGCTGTCCGCAGCCTCTGCGGTGCGGTTCGACCCCCAGCCTGCCAGGGAGCTACCCATATGGCGCGGCAGACCTCTCCTGTCTCAACAACCGCTCCCCTCAGCAGTGTCTTCGGTCTGTCTGCCTGTTCTGCTTCCCTCTCTGTCTCTGGTGAATTCTCTCACCCTCCCGTGCCTCTGACTGTACCCCGGTTCTTGTATAAAGAAATAAATCTTTAAAAAAAAAAAAAAGAAAGAAAAAGAAACGCCGTGCGCCTTAGCTGTGCAGTCTTTCTGTGGAAGTGGGTAGAATGCTGGGCTGCGGGGATGCACACCAGCCTCCCTGCGGACAAGTGGTATGGCTTTGGGCAGACAGGTGACCTGCTTTCTCACTCTCCCTGGGTTAGGGGAATCCTGATGAGGTTATAGGAAGGATGCTGTCTAGTCCACCACTAAAGCACAGACGATGAGTCTTGTTTTGTCCCAGTTATGGGGTCATGACGGGGCAGGTTTTATCTTCCTTCGCAGGGAAACTTATGTGAGAGGAAGCTGCTGTTGGGCTGTCGCTCAGAACCTCCGATAACTGACACGTAGAAAGGGGAACCCAAAAGGGCAAGAAGGGTAATAGCTAAGCACCGGTCACAGCCAAGTGCCAATTCTCATGGGAGGGAACACAAGCAGAACACTCCAGGCTGACCCAGTCGTCTATTTCCCCTCACCCCCTGCCCCAGCACTGCACACCCGGGTGGATCACAGAACCTCAAGTCTTTGTGATGGAGGTTAGGGCTCTGGTAACAACAGACAACGCATTTCCTGGTGCTGCCCCGGTATCTGATACCGGGAGTACAGAAACCCGCACGCCCGCCTACACTCACAGCCTCAGGGAAGCAGGGAATTGGAAGATACCATGCAGGCCTCAGCTCTTTGGGGTTCATAACTTACAACAATTTGAGCCTCCCACAGTAATGCTTGCTCTTGCTAGTCCACTCCTTGGGGACCCACTTCACTCAGTGCAGACAGGCTTTCCATGTCTGGCTAGCTGTTAGAAGCATTTTGAAACTAGATGTCACCACCTTTCTTCCTTTACCTTTTAAAAAAGAGCCCCAAGTGGTATAAACCAGCCGGTCAAAAGTGAATGTCTGTATGCAACTAAAATGAACTTTGCTAAAATCCAAGGCTAAAGTAAATAGTGATTTCCATGGAAAGAGGATGTGAGGACTCAGAGCAGCAGCTTGCAGGGTGAGGGGACGACTGAGGTCATTTGGAAGCATGCTGCTGTGGTGCTGGGCAGGGGCTGTGCCACCCAGATTCCTGGTGTGCATGTGAGAGAGAGAGAGAGAGAGAGAGAGAGAGAGAAAGAGAGCGAGACAGAGACAGAAACAGAGACATATACAGCACCAGCTGAGATGGGGAAAAAAAAAACAGCAGAGCGGAATCATCCTGCTCTAAGGTAGCTGAACTAGTTTCTCTAAAACCTTCCCTTTTTATTTCCCTGCCTCTGTTAATCAGGAAATCCTACCCGCGATGCTCAGGCCACCAGAGCTGGCCTGCTTCCTGCCTGCACCGGTGTGTCCTGCACACACTGGTTCGTTACCTAGAATGCCTTCCTCAATACCCCTCCTTCACCCAGCAAGCACTCACCCTTGAAGTACCAGCACCTTGGGGATCCTTCTCTGACCCTAATCTCTACACCCTGGGCCATGCTGCACCTTTTCCCCACCTACTGAGAGCTCTCAGCGTCGGGGGGCTCTCCTTAATCTGAGCCCCAAATCCTGGTGGGAAGAAGGTGAATTGATAATATCAGGGGCTTTTCCCCAAAGTGAGCGACAGAACCCCACAAGTAGAAAGGACAGAAGAGGAGTCTGGGACTCCATGGGGACTGGGAAGTGAGGGAAAAGGACAGGGAGGCCAGGTCCTTTGTCCTGGAGGCTAACCTGGGGCTGGCCCATGGTCTTGTGGTGGTTTCTATTTGAAACAGACCTGCTAGGCACCGTGAGCCTCCACTTCAGATGAATGTTCTGGAACAATCGAAATGCTTTGAAAATGACTCCTGAATGTTTATTTCCTTTTATAATAATGGGCAGAGGCTTTCGCTACAATTAACATGCAGCTGGCAGGAGCCAGACGCTCCGGAAAGGCTGCTGTTTTCATAGTTTTTCCATGTAGAGAGCTTGCACATACTGATTGCTATCACAAACGCTGTGCCTTCCCAGCTGTGATAAGAAACGGTTCATTATATAGATGGGTGGTTCTGATTTTTGTAGCCTTTTGCTTTTTACAGTTCTAAATTGCACAGTAGTGAGAGTAAACCGAGGAACCTGGCTCAGATGCATAAACAAACATGCTTCTCTCCATGGAACAGAGTAGTATGTTTGCAGCTCAGGAAGGGCCATAGGGCTGAGGTCCCACAGCTGGTTCCTGGCCAGCGGGGTGCCCGAGCCTGTCCACTTCCTCACGAGAAGATGAGACATGTTTTTTGGTTTCTGGAGCACTGGTTACTTTGGCTTTTTGTTTCCTGACTTGGCTTGACGTTAATACTCCTTCCAGGTACACTAGACCAGGGGAAAAGCACAAAGAGAACTCACTCAGAAGTTCAAGGGCCAGACTGAGAAGAGATAAAGTCTCCATTTCAGATTCCAGGCTACCTGGCAGCCTGCCTGGGCTTTCCATCTACCCAGCTCTTAGCTAGGTGTGCTCTTACCTGGGGCACTGCTCAGAGCCACGATCTTATCACCACTGCTTCTTTCTACTTGTCACTTTTGGTCTAATAGCCAACAGTTGCTTCCTTGGTTTGCTCAGTCCTAATTAAAACTAGGAGTCTCCTGGGTGTGCCCTGCTAGAGTGTGGGAGGGAAGGGATCCAGATGAGCCTGCTGGGGGGATGCACAGGATACCAGGCCCATTTCATCCTGTCCCTCTGCTATTCAAGGGGTATCTGTCTACATGGATATGCAAAGGCAACAGACTCTGAAGTTTGCTCCTGGATAGCATCACATTTTGGCATCTAGAGAAAAGTCACCTTTTAACTCTAGATTGAGTTCCCTCAGCTCTTTGATGCCTGGATGGTATTTTGAGGTCTTGGGTCTGTGAGACCCCGTGGACAGACACAGTCTATTGTGGCTCAGTCACACAGTGGCTTTAGCCTTGGAGAGTGGAAGAGACACAAACAAGGAGAAATAACTGAGAAACACTGTCTAAAGTAAAGGCAGCATGATCTTGTCATGTGTACTTACATAGTAGCCTGATTCTCTGGGAGAAGACATGG